AAGAGATGAAACAATAGCATTTCTATGGGGGAATTTATTGTGACCACTTACAAGGAGATGTCGCTGAATATGAGTGGCTGCTCATACACATTCTACTGTATGTATATCATAAAATAAATCTGTTCTTAGGATAATTCTGTAACAAGGGATCGATTTTAGGGTGGGCCAATCACATTCATGCATATTACTGAATGAGTCTTATATTGATTCAAGTAACTGACCTGATGTGGCCCCATTTTCTCCTGATGCTTGATTGCGAGAAATTTCTAAACATAATCTCTGTAAAAAAAAAACCAAAAAAAAAACCATAAAAATTAGACACACTTAAAATACTATTACCATAAAATACTATTGTACCGGTATATTTTTGCAACAGAATCTGGCAAAAAGAAATACTAATACAAGTCTAAATATAATATACTATTCAAAAAAAGTAGGGGATATTTGATTTTGGGGGCATAATACTAAAATATGCAAATGACTACGAAAAACGTCACTATAGAACCTAACAGAAGAAACATTTCCAGTTACATGTGACGCCCAAACGCACCAATAGCTACCGCATGGAATGCAGGTGATGCTTGGGATCATCATGGGGGTCCAACCCAAGATTTGCACGACTCTGACTTTGAATGTTACAGTCATTGTGGCATTGAATTCCAGGGTGGAAACATCAGTTTAATTGTTTTAGTGACCAGAAAACAAATTTTGATATGCGTCGGCCTACCCAAAATGAAAGGTTACGTGCCCTTGGCATGCTACAGATCGGCACAACACAGGCGGTTGTGGCGCGGACGATGAATGTTTCTCAGTCTGTCATAAGCAGGCTATGGTCCAGATACCGTGATACACAATCTGTGCAGGACAGACCACACTCAGGTCGACCAAGGGCGACAACTCAAGCCCAGGATCGATTTATCCGTACCTTGGCCTTGAGAAATCGTGTCATCACAGCAAATCAGATCAGCGCTCGTCTTCAAACAGACACTGGTGTGAGAGTTAGTGGCCAGACGATTCGGAATCAACTGCATAGGGGTCACCTTCGCGCCCGACGTCCTCGCGTGATCCCTTGTTTGAGAGATCATCACATTCAGGCAAGACGTCGTTGGTGTAGGGATCGTCAACACTGGGATAATCGACGCTGGAGCAATGTGATGTTTTCAGATGAGTCAAGGTTCACTGTTGATTTTTTGGACAGACGTAGAAGGGTGTGGCGTCGTCGAAACGAGCGCTTCCAAGACGTTAACGTCATCAGACATGATCGATTTGGGGGTGGTTCTGTTATGGTGTGGGGAGGCATCACTGTTGCTGGAAGAACGGCTTTACATGTTGTTGCAGGGCGTGTTACAGGCCAGTACTACCGGGACAACATCTTGGCAGTCCATGTTGTGCCGTTCGCACGACATCATGGCCGCCGTTTCATCTTCCAGGATGACAACGCAAGATGTCACAGGATGTTACAGGTTACCTCCAACAACAGAACATCACCACATTACCTTGGCCAGCACTGAGTCCCGACCTCTCCCCCATCGAGCATGTCTGGGACATGCTTGGACAGAGGTTACGTCAACGTCAACAACGTCCTGCCAATGTCCAAGAACTTGCTGCTGCGTTGCAACAGGAATGGGACAATCTGGACCAAAATGACCTTAGACTTCTCATTAGGAGTATGCCACGTCGGATCAATGCTTGTTTGGCAAACAGAGGAGGATTTACCCGTTACTGACTTGGTTGTGATGCTGTGGTAACTTTGCTGTTTGACCCCGGGTATCATTTTACCCTTATAATGGTCAGTCTGTGCCTTACTTAGTCTAACGATCATTTGGAATAAATCGATGAATGTGAACTTCATTTCATTTTGTCATTTGTTTATTCGTCAGTTTCATGAGGTGACTTTAATAACACTTAAAAATCAAATATCCCCTACTTTTTTTGAATAGTATATATTGATAACAACAAGTCATGGATCCTTGGTGCTCGGCAACAATGGCGCTGGCTCACTAACAAGGTCTGGGGTCGAATTCCGTAGTTAGCCAAGTTCCAGCTTGGTTCCTGATAAACAATGGAAAAGTGTCTAATGGTTCAAATGGGGTGAAAAATTCTTGGTCCAGTGTATATCGGTTAGGTCTAAATATTAAGGCCATCTGCAGCTTCCGTCAAGGTCAAAAGATGTACAAAGGGCTAGCTCTAACCATAGATCTAATTTGAAAATCAACTTCTGGTTCGGTTTTATCGGGAAGTGCACCTACAACTTCCGTTGCTAGGGACGCTATCTGATAGTTTGGTGTTTATACGATCAAGAACGGAAGAAGGTGGACATGGATTTGATATAATCGATGAAACGTGATACGAGGCAGTATATATCTGATAATCTGAAAATCATAATATATATATAGCACTAGAAAACAGGAATGTTTTTAAATTAGATTTAAATATTGAAAATGTTGGAGCAGATTTTAAAACTAATGGCAGGGCATTCCACTTCAAAGCTACTGAAACTTCAAATGATTTAAAACCAAATTTTTTCAGTTTCCACATTGATACTGTAATATAACGTAGAGATTGGGATCGCAGAGGTCGTATTGACTGGTAGGGATTAACAAATTCCTTTAAATACGAAGGAGCATTTCCATGAAGGCACTGATACACAACCCCATTTCAAATAAAATATTAAACAAAAAAAGATCACATGGTCTTGGCAAAATGGAAACATATGTAAATATTTAAAGAAACTGACCTCTTTTAGATCTAATATTTGTTGATTATACTGTGTTTGGGCAGTTTCTAATTGGTTGATATACCTACAATACAAGTCATGAATATTAATAAAAATATATCAAAATCTAATAATGAAGGAGTTTTCAAGTAAAACACTTTAACTCTTAAGTGACCCAGAGGTTTGACGTCATAGCGTCATAATGGTAATCCATAATTAGGAGAACATTTTTGTGTAAGCGTAGACATTATCACCGTTTCATTATAATTTTTCAAGAAGAAACAGTACGATTTTTAACAGTAAACAAACAAGCGAATGTCGTTTATAAGGGAAATAACTCTCATTACGTAGGAAGGTTGAACTTGGCTAACCGGTTAAAGTTGCCATGGGTAGGTGTCGACAAAAGTTGACTTGGGTCAGCTAAGAGTTAAAATCTCTGAACATCATTTCTTGCAAACTATAATATTGTGAAAGTTGAATCTCTAAAAAGAGTAAAGTCCAAAAAATGTTTGAAATCAAATCAGTATTAATCTCGGCATTGGCTCTACCTGTCAACCTCAAATTCTAGCTCCACCGGTCAACCTAAAATTCTAGTACTACTTGTCAATCTCAAATTCTAGCTCTACCTGTCAACCCTAAAATTCTAGCTCTACCTGTCAACCCTAAAATTCTAGCTCTACCTGTCAACCCTAAAATTCTAGCTCTACCTGTCAACCCTAAAATTCTAGCTCTACCTGTCAACCTCAAATTCTAGCTCTACCTGTCAACCTCAAATTTTAGCTCTACCCGTCACCCTCAAATTCTAAATGTACACATTAATTCACTTCACAAATCAATCCATCAAATATAAAAAATGTTTAGCCAAATCAAAAATGTTTAGCCAAATTAAAAATGTTCAATCATTTAACCATGTATATGTTTGAAAATGAAATTATTTTACAACAAGATAAATTAATGTCAGGTGTACCCACCATTGTTGATCCCGTGATTTTTGGTAGAATGTTGGAGCTCGGACTTGAAAGTGTAGGACTAGGGTATCGTTATTAGGGTCTAGATAACCTTCATTGATCAGTAAATCTAAACGGAAGAAACGATTATAACCCCAACATTCTCCTACTTCGAAATCTGAGGCGAATTCACGAACAATATTTTTACTAGAATCTCTGGAGGCTTGATGAACCATTTCTACTCTATATTCATATCTAAAATATACAATAATATAGTTTGTACAATTCAATTATTTATAATATACAATAATATAGTCCATACACTTCAATTATCTAAAATATACAATAATATTGTTCTTATACTTCAATTATCTAAAATATACAAAAATATATATCATACACTTAATTATCTAAATATAAACTATACATTAATATAGTTTAACACATAAATTATCTCTAATATACCCAAATATAGTTTAACACTTCAATTATCTAAAATATAGAATATTTTATTATGCTTATCGCACACGCTGGGGTCTTTCCTGTGGGAGGAAAACAAGAGAACCAAGAGTAAATCCTGGAGGTTCCAAGCCACATACACTCACATCAGGAATCGAAACCCTGATTGCAAGTCAGAGGTGACCGGCTAGCTAGAGCTCAAAGTGTGACACTCTAGGCCCCTACGCCCTCTTCCCCCCAAAACGCATTATAGGGCTGGATTAAATCTGCTAATCTACTACTGTAAAATAAGGCTATATGAAACAAATATTTTGGTTTTCAGATAATCCTCCCCCCCCCCCCCCACCATGCTTTTTGTTAAGGATTGTTTGAGAACCAGAGAATATTTTTTTGTGTGGCCTACTCTGTTTTATGTGGCCTACTCTGTTTTATGGGGCCTACTCCGTTTTACGTGGTCTACTCTGTATTGTGTGGCCTACTCTGTTTTACGTGGTCTACTCTGTTTTACATGACCTACTCTGTTTTACATGGCCTACTCTGTTTTACGTGGTCTACTCTGTTTTACATGACCTACTCTGTTTTATGTGGCCTACTCTGTTTTATGTGGCCTACTCTGTTTTATGTGGCCTACTCTGTTTTAATTATTGAGTATCAGGGTATTTATGATCTTTACAATACAAGGAAATTACAAAGTACACAATTCTGTGGGGTTTTTTACAATGTAAGGAAACTGGTTTTGGTTATAACATGGGTTTTTATTACAATGAAAGGAAACTGGTTTAGATTATTGAGTATAACAATTTACTTACTTTGATGTTTCTGGTAAACCTTGTGATAATTCTAGAAAAACTGATAAATAATGACCTCGAACAACACCATTACCATCCTATAAATAATATGATAAAAAATAACGTAATATATAGAACAACACCATTACCATCCTATAATAACATGATGAATAATAAAGAGAGAGAGAGAGAGAGATAAATGGGGTTTAACGTCCACTCGACACAAACTAGGTCATTTCGGGACTAACATATGGTTTAATTTTATTTCAACAACTCACTTGCGCGTAGGGGTCTTTAGCAGTGGGAGGAAACCGGAGGACATGGAGAAAACCCTTGAGGTTGGACAGGCGAACCTACTCCTTGTCACGTACAACCGGGGATTCGAATCCACGCCAGTCGACTCAATGACAGACTTTATGATACAGCGCACACACGCTAACCATTCAGCCATCCAACCCCCCATGAATAATAAACATCATATATATAATATATAGAACAACACCATTACCATCCCATAAAATGGATGAATAAAAACGTCATATACACATATATACAGATCAATCTTTTACAAAACATAACTGACATTTTCTCAAACTGAATGGAATGGGTTTTAATGTCTTGCCTACAATACTTTGGTCATTTTGAGACAAACATATGGTGATTTTCGTTTCTATGGTTACCGTTGCAGTATAAGGTAGAAGAACTCTTCTCCGATTTCCAAAGGGTTCTTTTATGACACATCAATGTGTACACAAGTGTTATGTGGTTTATCAACACATCCAAAAGACTAGACATCCTGTTCTTGTCAGATGCCACCCCTGACAAGTGAATGTCAGGTTTGAAAAATCCACAGGATTGTTCTCAGCCGACCCCATGATTCATTCTGGTTGCGAGTCCAGTACCCTGGCAGAAAAACTACCACAACCCCCTTTTTCAAACTAAACAATTCACGCACAAATCTCTTGTCATATTAAATTCATCTGTACTCGGTTTTTCATCCCATTCGAATGACTCATGACACTTTCCATTGTTAAGCCTCACATCTTGCATCATTGACAAGGGCAAACCATATGGAAAATCCATAGAAAATTTCTTGTCTAACACTGGGAACTCCTGGTTAGTGAGCCAGTGTTGATCGAGTCACTTTAATCAACAATTTAGGAATACAAGAGAATCAACAATTCAGTAATTTGATCTGGCCCAGTTTGCACAAATATTAATTTTGATAATGAGTGTACAATTTACAAGTATTTAATTTTCTGACCACTGTTCAAAAATAAATCATTATACATCAATAATCAATTGAGTTGTATATTTTTTAACAGTAATCAAGAAATTAAATTGGACCCTCATTATCAAAATTGAATCGTCAGCTTTAAAGTGGATACAAGTACAAATTAGATAATTTTTGGTGATTTCAAACGATTTTTACAAATTTTTAAGCAAAGATTTGATATTGAATGAATGTGAAAGAAATTAGTGCTAGATACACAAGATTAAACCATACCGGAGTTACAGTGCAGTGACACAGGCATAATGCAAATTAGAAATTCTTGTTCAGATGTGGCATGGCCAGACACAAATTAGTATAGGTCGGATGTATGCTTTTTACTTTTAATTTCACTCACTAATTCCTCTTAAACTTACTATTAAATATTTTACTTACAGGATAAACTTTTAACCTCTTAAACTTACTATTAAATATTTTACTTACAGGATAAACTTTTAACCTCCATGCTAGACCCGAAACATTTAATGGAGGACTATAAACTGGATCTGCTCGTTGACGTAATAAACTAAAATTCTTCATTTCAAACATACTGGTATCATACAGGGGAACTATTTCACTACAAAACAAAGAAGATAACAAATGAAATGAGATTTTATGACACGTCAGCTCCAACCGGGCGATATTGCGAGGAAGATAATAAGTAAATAAAATGAAATGAAATGGGGGTTTAATGTCCTACTGTTCTGCTCCAAACTGGGCTAATGAAAACGGGTATACAACTTACAATGTGCTATGAGGGAAATTTTGCCTGGGCAACGGCACTATGACCTACTCTTATATCGAATTCCAACTGCCAAGGGATTTTTTTACATGCACGCCACTGCATACACGGGACCTTGGTTTTTCATCCTATCCCAACGACTTGTCAGGCCCTCCATTATGCACCAGTGACAAGGGGAAATCACGTCAGGAAATCCCGATGAACTTTCTCGGCCAATGCAGGGATCGAACACGCGACCTCCAGGTTAGCGAGCCAGCGTCTAACCCACGTAGCCACTGTGACCCCCGAAAGAAAATAAAACTTACCATTTTAACACAAAAATAACTCAATAGTACACATTGCCGAAAAATCCAATCTGATTAAAACACAGACCATATTTCGTTTCATTTTTTATAGTTCAAAATTTCGATTTACTCGTCTTTATTACACTGCGATTGGGAAGAGTTGTTACATTACTGGTGTTCTTGTTGATGTGAGGGATCAGTCAATGAAACGGTCTGTTATGTGAAAAAAAACCTTGTTATAACCAAAACCAGTTTCCTTGCATCGTAAAATAACCCCATAGAATTGTGTACTGTGTATTTTCCTTGGATTGCAATACGAATAATTTAGTGGAAAATATACCCACAATAATTTATTATTCCAAAAGAAACAACACTGTTCAACTATTATCACGATCAAGAAATTCTAAAATAATTCAAAATTTATATCCTACCTGTTGAAGTCTGCTTGGACTGGAGTAGTAACGAAAGATGATCTTTGTCCTCTATGAACTTGACGAAAAATGTCCATTAATTCTTTAAACTGTTGTATGAGATGACTTTTACTGCGCGTATTTAAATCTATATTAGCCCGCTGGATGATTGTTTCTAGTACTTCCGTTTCATGACTCAATCTTGACCTTTGACCTGTGAAATAACAAAACAATAAACAGTGTTTGACAGCAGTTTATCTGTTTTAGGGTTTTGATCAAATCTAGCTTCAGCTTTACGTCACATTTCTGGTATAATCTCAAATTCAATATTACAATAAGCCAATGCTATAATTATAATAATTTGGTTGGTTGGGGGCAAACAAATTTTCAAATATTGAACTTGCAAATTTCAGTGCACTGTTACTAACTATAAAGATACAATCAAATTAATTTCAAGTTCAAGAACAATAAAATTAATTTCAAGTTCAAGAACAATAAAATTAATTTGACAAACAATAAAAATCAATTTAAAAACAATAAAAATCAATTTAAAAACAATAAAAATCTAATAAGATCAGATTTTTCACTTAAATAAATGAGAAAAGACAAGTCGCATCTGAAAGAAAAACAGTAAAAATGATTACCTACCCATCAATGTTAATAGTTTACTCTTCATTTGAGATTCAAGTCGTGCAATCATCAATTCAACAGCATTGCGTATTTCTCTCACTCTCTCATCTTTACCATTTTTAACACTTTCTATATTATGTTCCTAATAATAAATTATGAATTTGTAGAGTGCAATTCTTTAAGGTAAACTGCTCAAGAGCGCTAGTCATATATTTGATTGAAAATAAATGTCTTTAGCTGTGATTTAAAAGTGTTCAGTGTTTCGGATCTCTTGATGTCTATGGTTGAGTCTTCCATAAAACTACACCACATTGCAGAAAAGCACAATCTCCATAGTTGGTTCTTGAATTTGATGGCACTGCCAACTGTAGTTGATCAGCTGATCTTAAAGCATGCGATGGTTAATAAAAGGAGAACATATCTTGAAAGTAAACTGGGCCGAGATTGTGGATTGCTTTGAAAGTTGATAACTTGAAATTTATTCGAGCACGAATCGGAAGCCAATGTAAGCTCTTAAGAATGGGAGTAATATGTTCACGGATATTTGTGTGAGTGATAAGTCTGGTGGCAGTGTTCCTAAAACAATTTGAAAAATCTAACATAAAAATCAGTAGCCAAAATTTTTTAATCTGTGACCATAATGATTCCAGTTATTGTCAAGCAATACAAAAATAAAGCGAAAACCGGAGATGATTCACTAATACAAAATATTAATATGCCACATTTTATTTTACTGTCAACTAAACTGGAATTGCCTCCCTTCAAATAGCAATTTAAACTAAAACCATTTTTACTGCAAAATGGTATTTTGATAAACAAATAAAAAATGTTCTGTGTATATTTTACAACGATCATAATAAGATTGAAAGTGCTTAACAATTTATTTCAGTTTAAAAAGACATGGATAACCTCAGGGTGTATCATAATTTTCAGGTACCAGAATGCAGAAATGTCAAGATTTTTTTCCTTGCCTGACTACATGTAATACACTCAGATTTTTGGTAATAGGATAGTCATTTGAGAGCATCAGTCCAAAATAGTTAATTTATATCTATATAAAGATATTATGAACTGAAAATTTGTCAACATTCTTCATTATAGTCGCAGAATCTACTGAGTTTTGCTGAAATCTTTTGGAGGACTAAAGAAAATATTACAGAAATAATACTTACCACATCTTGTACTAAACTAATCAATTCAATATGGCGTCTTTTAACTTGGTTTAATTCATCTGATAGTTTTTTAGCATGTTCTTCATAAACACCGTCTAATGGTTTAAAAGTATGACCAGAGTGCTGAAAATAATCAAGAGTTGGTATTACTGGAAAGCAAGTCTGGAAATAAGGCACCTGTCACAGACAATGTCAGACACAGATCCAGGCTTTGTCAGGCACTAAACCTCTGGTGCCTGTCATTTTGACTGGCACTGATTTGTCTTTTTTATTGATATTATTAATACATGTCTGGCAATGTCAGGTACTATGTCATTAGTGCCTGACAATTTGTCAGGTACATCTAAAACCATTATTTCCAGGTCTGCTGGAAAGTTAATTAAACAAGCACACTTCCGTTTAAACATACATTATGGGAGATTAGATAAAGAGCTGGCAGTTCTTACTATAATAGTTAAAAACTAGATTAAGTAAAGGGAATTTGCTGAAAATTTTAGTCAAATTGATCCACTTTGAACCGAGAATTCAGCGATTGAATTTTGGTCTTAGCTTGGATCATCTTTACTAAAGTCGGTACGATAAAAAAACATAAGTCTAGATTATCCATTTTTCGATGAGCGCTGAATGACAGATCGGAATCCTAATCCAGTAAATATCGCAGTCTAGCGATGACATTGAGAGTGGATTATGGTCTGGATAAGTTAATTAATGTCTAATTAAACATCCATTATGCAAGAGCAAAATCGGCCTATTGTAGGCCTTTCTTTAGGCCTGAAATGTTATAAAGATAGGGTTCCCAGGCAACGAAACATACGCCCACAGCAGCTAAATCGTCCGGGCAGTCAACAAGAGTTGTCGCATATTTTTACTTTTTTCGGTAATGAAACATTTATAATACACTAAAATCTGATTAAGAGCAACAACTCAGAAAACCATTAGAATTTGTTTGGTTTTTATAAAGTTCTGCCCCATGCTAACGTTTTGTATACAAAACTTTTAATACTGTATCATGAATTTAGCTGTTCCAAGTCATAAAAATTCATTGAAAATCAATATACTTGTTCGTCTCAAGATCATAAACTCTGTGTATCAATTTAAAGTCAATCGGATATTAACTTTGGCCTCTAGAGCGTCCACAAGATTTTTTGAAGTGATCAAGGGCATAACTCTGGCAGTAATTATTGGAAATCGCTGAAAATCAATAGGCTTCTTCGTCTCATGTCCTTAAACACTGTGTATCAATTTAAAGTCAATCGGATATTAACTTTGGCCTCTAGAGCGTGCAAAAGATTTTTTGAAGTGATCAAGGGCCATAACTCTGGCAGTAATTATCGGAAATCGCTGAAAATCAATAGGCTTCTTCGTCTCATGACCTTAATCACTGTGTATAAATCTAAAGTCAATCGGATATTAACTTTGGCCTCTAGAGCGTCCACAAGATTTTTTGAAGTGATCAAGGGCCATAACTCTGGCCGTAATTATCGGAAATCGCTGAAAATCAATAGGCTTCTTCGTCTCATGTCCTTAAACACTGTGTATAAATTTAAAGTCAATCGGATATTAACTTTGGCCTCTAGAGCGTGCAAAAGATTTTTTGAAGTGATCAAGGGCCATAACTCTGGCAGTAATTATCGGAAATCTCTGAAAATCAATAGGCTTCTTCGTCTCATGACCTTAAATACTGTGTATAAATTTAAAGTAAATCGGATATTAACTTTGGCCTCTAGAGCGTCCACAAGATTTTTTGAAGTGATCAAGGGCCATAACTCTGGCAGTAATTATCGGAAATCGCTGAAAATCAATAGGCTTCTTCGTCTCATGACCTTCAACACTGTGTATAAATTTAAAGTCAAAATCGGATATTAACTTTGGCCTCTAGAGCGTCCACAAAATCTTTTGAAGTGATCAAGGGCCATAACTCTGGCAGTAATTATCGAAAATCGCTGAAAATCAATAGGCTTCTTCGTCTCATGGCCTTAAACACTGTATGTAAATTTAAAGTCAATCGGATATTAACTTTAGCCTCTAGAGCGTCAGGGCTTGCCACAAGACGCAAGTAATTACTCGCGCGCACGCTACGCTCGCGTAAAACCAAATTTACGTGAGTGATTAAGTACTCGCGCAAATATAGAAAATAATTTAATCAGAAATAATTGAATATCGTAATATAAAAAGCCGTAAACAATTTGTATGCCTTCATATCGATGCACTATTGCGCACGCGGCGTGTCTTTCCAGTGCCAACTGTTGTTACTAAAAATACTTTGAGACGCGTACTGCCAGGCGGTTTTTAAGCGGATGTCCTTTGCCGTGTCTGGATAATCAAACATTGAGCGGATGTTGTCGTTTCTATTAATAGCAATTCTTTCGATCCCGCATCTTTTCTGCAAATTGATGGGATTGAAATTGTTTTGCCTGTTCTTTTTCCTTTCTAAGCTTTACCCGAATCCCCTCAGCACGCCAACGATGGCAAAGGGAAACCCAGTTTCCCTTGCAACGTTATTGTCATGGGAAGACGATTTACAGATAATATTACTGCCAAGGAAATAAAAGAGTATGCATTGTCATTGTGTGTGAAATAGCTTTATTCAACGTCCGCTTCCACCGAAGTGACAAGAGCATTGCCATTAGGCACATGAAATGTAAATGGCTACTCACGCACATCATTCTGCGTGAGTAAATACATGTACTCGCCTCACTCGCGCAAGTCTATATTTGCGTGAGTAGTCATCTACTCGCCTCCAATTTGCTCGTGGCAAGCCCTGGAGCGTCCACAAGCAATTGTGGACGCCGGCCGGCCGGCCGGACGGGGGCGACGACAATATACGAACACATTTCATTGTGGCCGTATAAAAACTACTAATTAGACATTAATTAACTTATCCAGACCATAATCAGCTCTCGATGTCAAGGCTTGCCTGCGATATTTGTTGGATTACAGTCCGATTTGCTGCAAAACTTTCCTTCGTGATTAACAATTAAATGGATAATCAAGACTATTAGTTTTGTCTTATCGACTTCAGTAATGATGATCGAGGCTTAGTGGAACTTTCATCCGCTTAGTTCTCGGTTCATAGTGGATCAATTTGACTGAAATTTTCAGCAAGTTGCCTTTACATTATTTAGTTTTTTACTATTATAGTGAGAACTGCCAACTCGTTATCTAATCTCCCATAATGTATCTTTAATAGTTTATATAACATTTTAGGCCTATAGAAAGACCTGCAATAGGCAGATTTAGCTCTTGCATAATGTATCTTTAACCCTTAACCGATCTTTGTTGACTATAGTTACTATAACGTGATACAGCTAAGTGTTCATGGTCGATGTCGACCCAGTGAGAACCTTTTTTTATAAGTCACATTTGAGTATTTAGTTTCGTATTTAATTGATATGGCCATGCATGCGTGTCAGAAGGTTACTTGTCTTGTCATGGGCATTAAGAAAAACATGTCTTTGTTCAACATTTTTTGACAAAAAACGTAATTTTTTAATAATGCCGAGAAGATTAAAGACTGGCAAAGTGGTTGAAATGCTAATGAATGATTCCGACTCGGATTATATCGATGAAACCGATTCTGAAGACAATATTTCTGATGAAAATGATTTAGAAAACGAGATACAACATGCAAATTATAGATCAACTTATCCCCTTCAACTTTTTAATTGGTGTCAAGGATCTATCACTTATAATTAACCGGCAGTAGTCTTTTGAAATAGGCATACAAAATATTTCAAATTAGCCTTTATTTAGTCCGACCACTTGACTTCATGACGTCAAAATTACGTAGACCAGATAAAGGTTCAGCTATTTTGTGAGTGTTATATTATCCTACCGTTCCTCCCCACAAGGCACATTGATGACAGATACATTCTTTACACGTTAAACAATAAACACTTAATTTCTCTCGATGTTCTTCACAACTAAAAATAGAAATAAAATAATAAAACAAAAAAAAAAATTATTTCACAAATATACATCCATAATAAAATACTAGACCAAACTAGGTCATTTCAGGACTAACATATGGTTCAATTTTATTTCAATAATTTGCTTGCGCGTAGGGGACTTTAGCAGTGGGAGGAAACCGGAAGACCCGGAGAAAACCCACGGGGTTGGACAGGCGACCCTGCTCCATGTCATGTACAACCAGGGAATCGAAATCACACCAGTTTACTCAATGACAGGCCTTATGATACAACGTGCACATGCTAACCATTCGGACATCCAACCCCACACTCTATACTTGCGCACTAAACTTATTAAAACCTTTAAAAAGTTTTATGGCCGTCATATTGATTTGATTGGTAAATATAACGTGTCTCTCTCGGCTATTATTCTAGATATATTTAATTGACAAGTATACTATTACTATCTCCCTGATAATGTCTACAACATCGATTACACAGTTCATCACGTGCATTTAGCATACCGATAGTTCATTGGCCAATCTCGCTATTTTACCGACATTTCGCCTAATAGTTTGGATGCAGCTATGGCGGGTGTGGCGCCAGGTAGGGTAAGCTTACTCTTCCGGACACCTGTTACCACTGTTTGTCGTGTATTTTGTACACCAGGAGCAGTCCATTTGCTGATTACACTATTTTGCTTGAATACACTATTTTGCCTATAACGTTTTTTAGGACTTCAAATTCTGTCTTATGGTTTGGATTGTTCATACTTGGTTTTATTTTATTTATACAAGCAGGATTAGCCATTTCTTAGCAGCCACTTCAGCATTAACCTACAAGTTAGAACACTTGAAAAAGAAATGAAACAGGGTTTCACGTCCTAGTTTTCTGCACCAACTAGGCCAATGAAGAGGGACAAATGCAATATGCTATGAGAGAAATTTTGCCATGACAGTGGCTTCTCAACCTATTCTTCTTCAAATTCCATCTGTCAACGGTTCTTTCAAGTGTATGCCAATGTGTACACTGGCCCCGACCCTTTGATAATCAACTGGAACTTTCTGATCAATCCTGGAACTTCCTCTGTGGTTAGCCAGTGCCTTACTCACCAAGTCCCTTTGGTTCCATGCAAAATCCTCGGAATTAAACACATGCTGAGACTGGTTCCATATATTAGACAGAGATTGAATGTAGACTTACTGATTACTATCATTGGTAACATCAACTGGAGGAGCAGGAGCAAACTGCTGTAACGTATCAAGTTGTTGTGTCACTTCTTCAGCCCATCGACAGTTTACTAATTCATGAAGATGTAAGGAAGCCCTATAATTTAAACAGATTATAAATAACAATGAAATAGATTAGAAATAACAAATAAAATAGATTATAAATAACAAATGAAACAGATTATAAATAACAAATGAAATAGATTAACAACATCGGTCAAATTACAATCCAACTTGGTTCTTGTTTACGATATCACCCTTGGTGGAAGTGGACCTAAAACTCGAGGAACGAACAAACGGTTCCAAATACTTGGCTAGCATGGAAATAAGGCAACAGTCAAAGACAATGTCTGAACAGTCGTGCTAGTCTATGGCCTACAATTATTTTGATTTCACATTGTCATGGGATCTTTAATGTTTTGCAATCTGGTTACAACACAGATCCTTTTTTGTTTTGTTTTTATAGTTCAAAATTTCGTTTTACTTGTCTTTACTACACTTGGATCTGGAAGACTTGTTATTTAACTCGTGTTCTGAATGGTGTCTGGGATAAGCCAATGAAACGGTCTGTTACGGCGAGCTTTAGGCGTGTTTTTCACAGAACTGTGGGTATTCCTCTAGTAACATCAATGCTGATTGGTTAATCAAATGTCTGACGTCATAGGGTCATAAGTCGGTCTTTTGACCCCTGACGTGACCTATCGCTATAACTTGTCAGATAATTCATGTAGTAGAGGCCATCGAAAGTATAATAAAAACGAAACGAAATATAGATCTATATTTTAATCAGATTGAATGTTTTGCTAATGGTTTACATGAGAATTTGGTTTTTGGTCCCATCCAATTGACTAGATACTTTTCCTTACCAGACCATCCATACTGCACCACTGACATGGAGAGAGGGAGAGAAATGGGGTTTAACGTCCACTCGACACAAACTAGGTCATTTCGGGACTAACACATGGTTCAATTTTATTTCAATCATTCGCCTGCACGTAGGGGTCTTTAGCAGTGGGAGGAAACCGGAGGATCCGGAGAAAACCCACGAGGTTGGACAGGCGACCCTACTCCTTGTCACGTACATCCGGGGAATCGAAACCCCGTCAGTTGACTCAATGACAGACCGTATGATACAGCGTGCGCGTGCTAACCATTCGGCCATCCAACCCCCCGACATGGAGAGAGATGGGATTAATGTCCACTTGACACGTAGGGAACATTTATCAGTGGGAGGAAACCAGAGGACCAAGTGAAAACCCACAAGGTTGGACAGGCGACCCTACTCCCTGTCACGTACAACTGGGGAATCGAAAACCACGCCAGTTGACTGAATGACAGACCTTATGATACAACGTGCACACGATTACCATTCGGCCATCCAGCCCCGCACCACTGACATGAGGAAACCCGGCTGGAAAATCCAGAAGAACTTTCTCATCCTACACTGGTATTGAACTCATGACCTCCTGATTAGCAAACCAAACTAGCGCCTTACTACTGTGACCATGACAGTTAAACAAAAGTAAGGGGATGAAGCAGGTCACTAAAATGGATTTTTTTTATTTATGGAATAAAAATCTTGCAGAAAAGCTGTCATTTCTTGTCACCTTTCACCATAAAGGAAAATAAAATATTCTGATATAAAACAGCATAATAATAGGACTATAATTATATCTTTAAAATAGCATTTTTGTTCAAAAAATCATCTTAACGCCCAAAAATTGTATTGTTAAATGTACCTGCAATGAGGGCATTGAGATCTTTCCTCTGTTAACCATCTCTGAAATAATAATAATAAAAATGATAAAGTAAAATTTTTTACTGATTCAGTATAATAAAAATATTTGTGGGTGTGTGATATACAAGATTATATTACATCAAATACATAAAGTCAAGCCTGGATATAAAGCACTTGTCACAGACTTTATCAAGTACAAATCATCACACAATGTACTACACCAGCCTTGACATAAGGGATCTGTCAGGCTTAATCCAGTACAAATTATCACACAACGTACTACACTAGCCTGGACAAGGCACCAGTCACAGACTATGTAATACGTATATGTTGCCTGATAACAGGTGCCTTATGATAAAGTAAAAGAATTCAACTGTATTTAATCATACTTGGTATATAAGTTCTATATATAACAGAAGTCTGTATTTTAAAAATCTTTTAATCTAAATCTGGTGACCTTTTATTTCTTAAAAACAGAGAAATAACAGGTATATGTATGTATAATATTTGACACTAAAATGGTTATATAATAGCCATTCAGAGTTTCCTTATGGTAATTTGAATATACTCACCATGATGCAGGTGAAACAGCAGAGTTTTGAACAATGAGGACACAGACGAGCATCTCTCAGTTTTTCCATGCAAATAAAACATCGGAAAACTTCAGCCAGACTCTAAAAATAGAAAATCATTGTTAGTGTTATACTGTTGGTTGCTACAATTTATAATAGTAATACTCATTTTTTTTTTTTTTTTTTAAAAACTCGCTTTCGTCCTCATAACTTTTTTGATTTTTTACATTACGTGTAAAAGGTATATTCTGATATCTAGCGATCTGACCATGAAATTTGACTGCTACACCAAATTTTTGAATACTGAAAGATGGTGTGAAGTCACCAGTGAATGATGCTTCCAAGAGAATAATTTACATCTGATCAATCTGTCAGTACCTCTAGGCATTAACTCTCAACCCTCCATGTCTCCAGGAGGGTACATGTATTTTATAGTTTTATCTAGCAAATAACACTGCATGATCTTTGAATAAGTTGACCGATTATTTCTGTTAATGTTATGCGCTACACTGCTGGCCAGCTGGGTACCGTATGTTAATTAGTCATAAGTACATGTATTATTTTATTTTAAAGATGTTACAGGCCGTAATAAAAAAAAAATGAGCTTCAAGGTAAAAATAATAAGATCAAATCGTAGCTAGAAACAAAAACACATCAGAGACAGATGTTCTCGTAGATGGTCACTAGGCCTAGTCAGTGGAGCTGTAGTCTTCGACTACCTAATTATAAGAGTGTCACTACCCAATCAACAAGTGAGAGAACTTTATCCTTTATTTTTAATCAGAATATTATCACGAAAATTTACTACACACCTCGACTGTGTTTTCTTCCGTTCGTTTGTCAACTCCAGACGCCATTTTTATGAGCTAATAATTTTTCAGAACCCCATAAATATAAGGTCTGGATCGAAATTCCAACAGACTTTTTTTTTTCTTGCCTTGTCCAAACAGGAAACAAGTATTGTACATACGATAGTCCGCACAATTGTCAATATAGGAATTTTATTGGATGAAATTCTGTAGCTTCGATCGACTAGACACTTAATTAATATAGATGCAATGGGTATAATTCCATCGTATTATTGAGATCTATTATTTGGTCTAAATAATCTATTCGTCAAGTATTGTCCATATGACGACTAAATACAAGATAGAATTGAATGATTCTAAATGTATCTCTATTGCAATAATGAAGATTGTACATTTATAATATCCAAATGTCTGGAAAATCAAGACCTCTGTTTTAAAATGGATTTGTCTCCCTTGTGCTGCTAATTTCTTTCTTGCTTCAGGACGCAGCAAGAATTTGTCTTTTTTTACGATAGTTGCTTGAGTTTGCCCATATAGATAGTATTTACGGGCGTGCTTTAGAACACTGGGTTTGTCATTAAGTAAGTTAATTGTCGTGATTTCGAAATAAAGATATACCGTACCGTACTCAATCCCCAATGACCTCATATTTGTGTTTCAATTAAGCATACCCCCAGGTTAGCCTACCCCCCCCCCCAAAAAAAAAAAAAGATTATGAACTCACCCACCCCGTCCCGCCCCCATCAAAAGATACATTGTCATTGTCTCAGTAATTTGACAAACCCACTCCTGCAAAACTTTCTGGATCCGCCCCAGTAGCCTAAAGTTATTTTGAATAGGATATTAATCAAAGTTAATTGATCTGTCATTTCGTAATTGAACTGGAAATACAAAGGATGCAATATAGAATACCGGTACTAAATGAAATGAGACAGGGTTTAACGTCCTACTTTTCTGAGATAGCCTATAAAGATAACGGACTTACTCCATACATGTAAGAGGGAAATTTTGCTCAGATAGCAGCGTTTCCGCCCACTCATTTTCGAATTCCAATACTGTCAATAAGGATTATTTTACTTGCATGCCAACGAATACACGATTATACCCCGACTTTTCGTCCAATCCGAACGACTGGACACTTTTCTTTGCTAGGTCGTCCATCCTACTCCATCGAAGCAGTTGACCATACATGTAAATCATTTTTTGTCCCATCTGAACGACTAGACATTGTGCCAGCCCCTCGATATCCCTGCATTGTCCGAGAAAGTTCATCAGGATTTTCCCCTTGTCAGTGGTGCAGGACGTAGGGCTTGACAAGGACAGCAGCCTGGTCGTTCGGATGGGACAAAAAAACCTAGGCCCCGTGTAAACATTGGCGTGCACGTAAAAGATCCCTTGGCAATTGGGATTCGATATAGCCGAGTTTAGGAGCAGACGTGCGTTAAACCCAATTTCATTTCATTTGCTAACCCCTGCACCCCCGCTAAATACAGCCCTGAATCCAAGTGCTCGTGTTTATAGGTAATATGGCGTATTATTGGTTATTTATTTATTTTTTTATTTTTTTTTTTTGGGGGGGGGGGGATTAAAACAAATTGCATATATATAGCCACCACTCTTTCTTGCGGAGAGTGTATAAGATAAAATAGGACAAGATAAGATTTTATTGTATCGAAACATCCATTTAGGACAGCATCCAATATAAACATGTACATATTTATAACAATATGACAAATAATATTTACAAATAAGACAGCGATAATTTTAATCTAGCTTATAATATAGAATTATTAACAGTATGTAATGTACACATTTACCTCAAACGGGTTTGATAATGGCACAGCATTCAATACAATTAAATTATGATGCATGTGTATAAGTATTACCTTTCAGATGATACCAATTTTAACATATTTAACATAGTGCAAAATACATTAAAGATAGCAAGAGATTTTAACACTTTAACATTTGATATTTTATTACAATATGCATACAATACCTTTTATCTTATATAAATTTCATGATCTAAAATGAAAATGTAATACCCTTACGATTAGACTCCAAGAAATGTATATATGTTTGTAACTCACTGTCTATACATATGTCCACCATTGTCTATTGTAAAAATAAGATATAACTGTTTTATATGTTTGGAGAGAACTTATATAGGCCTAGTTTGCCTGTTGTTCAATCCAGTTCAGTTTATTGAATAAAATATTGTTTAAACTAAGTATTTGTATTAAAAATACATAAATAACGAGAAGACTTAGTATAGGTATTTACATGGAAATATGATATAGGGATGCTATAATAATAATATGAATCAAGTAATAGAACATGGAATGAAATATATTAATTCATAAAAATCTAGAGAATAATTTGGATACGAAATTAAAAGAGGTGAGAGATAGGCTACAAGTAGCTCTACACATTTTATGTTCTTAGATTCATAAATTTCTTTATAGTGACGAAGATAGGATATTGCGACATTATGTAATTAGCTTTCCAGACCAATGTATATCAAATTAACCCCCTATAAAATTATACCACTGTTACACGTAAATATTACACCTATTTAATCATATTGATTTGCTGGAGTAGAGAAAATTAATTATTTTTAGTAACAGTCTAGCTGGCTATATTTAAACTTGAATTTCATTGGCTGCTATTAATAGATAACCACATTTAGATTGGTTGAAAACCTATTTATATTCAACGCTTTGTGGAATGGCCATCATGCCACGTTGTGAAGGTTCGTTTACTGGTCTATATAAAGCAAAAGTAGCAAAGTAAAATATTGGTCTTTTAAGAGTATTACAGAAAAATGGCGAAAAATATACTGGACGTGTATGTAAAAATGCCTTCAGGCAAGAACGTACAGTTTGACATGGAGTACTGCCAGACTATAGAAGCGCTCAGTAATTTGGTAGCATTGAAGGAAGATGTCAACCCCAAACAGATTCAACTGAAATACCAAGGGAAAATTTTAAATCCTTCATCAACATTAAATTATCTAGGAGTGCGACCGGAGACTATCCTTAAAGCGGAGATCCTGGAATCACGAAAGATCACCCTGCGGTGTAAATTGAATGAAGACGAGACAGAAGATATACACATTGATACGCTGGACACGACCACAGATTTATTTCGCAGGATTCAAAATATAACAACCTTTGTCAACAAAACCATTCAAACGGTAGGTGATTTTTGCTAATTTGAGTTAAAAAAAACACAACTCTATTCCAGGCATTTCCTACGTGGTTTCCCCTGTCAGTCGTGCAGGACGGAGGGCCTGACAAGGACAGCTGTCTAGTCGTTCGTATGGAACGAAAACCCGAGGTTCCGTGTATACATTGGTATGCACGTAAAATTCCATTGGCAGCTAGAATTCGATATAAGAGTAAGCCATAGTGCCGCTGCCCGGGCAAAATGTTCCTCATAGCACACTGCATGGCGGTGTTAATTTGATTGGAATCAGTGTGAACAGCCTCGGTAACCTTCACATTGTCACGACCGTTGAGGAAGTCACCGTGGCTCAGTGAGTAAGACGTTGGCTCGCCACCCGGAGGTCCCTTCTTCGACCCCTGCGTTGGTCGAAAAAGTTTCATCTTGTCAGTGGTGCAGAACAGAGGGCCTCAGATGGGGGAGAGAGAGAGAGAAATGAGGTTTAACGTCCACTCGACACAAAACTAGGCCATTTCGGGACGGACTAACATATGGTTTAATTTTATTTCAATAATTCACTTGCGCGTAGGGGTCTTTAGCAGTGGGAGGAAACCGGAAGACCCGGAGAAAACCGACGAGGTTGGACAGGCGACCCTACTCCTTGTCACGTACAACCGGGGGCCTCACAAGGGACGAAAAACCAAGGTCCCTTTTACACATTGACGATCACGTAAAAGATCCCTTGGGAGTTGGAATTCGATATGAAAGTAACCCGTAGCACCGCTGTCCGGGCAAAATTTCCCTCATAGCATACTGCATGGCGACTTCATTAGCCCAGTCGGCGCAGAAAGGTAGGACGTTTAATTGCTCATATAACCGTTGACAGTGCACGCAAAACTGCACGTACCTACCAGTGATCGTTATCATGCGACAGGGAAAATGTACAAATACAGGACATAGTCTAACAGTCAGAATAGCAAGAGAATCTATTTTCAAATGCCGAAATCGTTCACTGCATTTTGACTTCTGATTAGAAAGAATCGATTGTGCTGGATTTTTAATACCTAAACGCGGCAAAGTTAATTGATCGGCGCGGTTCTTGCTGAACACTCTCTAAACTTCATCTTCTGCTTTGAATCTAAACGCTCTTTTCAACATTTCAGAGAGGTGGAGTGAATGTACTAAATTCAGGGAAGAAATTAAAGGAGGTCGGACTCTCAGACGGAGATGTATTAATAGTTAAAGAGTTAGCTTCACCCACACCTACATTATCGGATGCACCACAATCTTCAGCAGACAACTTCCAGCTGATGGACATCAAGTCCAGTTTTGATGCTCAAGGTCGCAATGTCGAGGTTGCGTTTTCTTTCGATACTACGGGAAGCATGTATTCATATTTAAATACAGTCCGAACAAAACTTAAAGCCACGTGTGAACGTCTATTGAAAGACATACCAAACATACGAATTAGTTTGATAGCCCATGGCGATTACTGCGACCAGGATAGCTCATACGTCATCAAGATGGTAGATTTTACGTCAGATGTTAACAGGCTGATGAAATTTGCAAAAGATGTTCCTGGTTCTGGTGGTGGTGATACACCCGAATGCTACGAATGGGTCTTACGGAAAGCCCAAACACTTGACTGGGCTGAAGACTCCGCTAAAGCTCTAGTTGTTATTGGGGACAGCCCACCACATGGAGTTGGATATACAGACCAGCAAATTAACTGGCACCAGGAATTAGAACTTCTTACTGGTATGGGGGTCAAAGTTTACGGAGTTCACGCTGGTGGGTCAACTGTAAGTCGCCCATTTTATGAGGAATTGGCAGATCGTTCTGGAGGTTGCTATATTCCCCTTCAACATTTTGACGCCATAACCGACATGTTTTTAGCCGTCTGTTACCGAGAAGCAAGCGATGATCAGCTTGGAGAATTCGTTCAAGAAATTGAAGACGCTGGCGAAATGACGGAGGCTAAAAAGGAAATGTTCAAACGGTTGGAGGAGACATCCAAAGAAGATAAAGACAAAGAAAAGAAGCCAGAACGACGAGATATCAGATACTCTTGGTGGAACAATGGTACCGCCACAGAAAATCTTCAATACCTTTATAATGAACAGACTGACGTTTGGTCCAGCCAACGTTCCACACGTACCATTCCCCGAACAAAGAAGATTCGACAATCCTTTCGAAAAAAGCTGGACAGAAAGTCCTGTGTTTTAATGTAGACATTGAACACGACTATAAAACAATTCCGGGAAAACGATCATGTGTGAATTTATGTCCATTATGTATTTACTGTGATGTTCTTGTCTGAATAGAAGATGGTCTATACATTAATAGGACATGACCTATACATTAATAGGACATGTTCTATAAATTAATAGGACATGGTCTATACAATAGGAGATGGTCTATACATTAATAGTAGATGGTCTATACATTAATAGGACATGGTCTATACATTAATAGGACATGGTCTATACAGTACATTAATAGGATATGGTCTATACATTAATAGATGGTCTATACATTAATAGATGGTCTATACATTAATAGGACATGGTCTATACATTAATGGAACATGGTCTATACATTAATAGGAGATGGCCTATACATTAATAGGAGATGGCCTATACATTAATAGTACGGAACTGAAGGGTGACAATCGAATATGATTGAATCACCTCTCACCTTACTCATAACCATTCAATTAAAGTAATGTACATATTTTAACTATGTGTATTCTTTGTACTGTGGTTTGTAATATAAATACATCTACATTATATTATGTGTTATGTAAATAGTGTTTATACTAATAATATAAATACAATTATTAAAGATACATTATGGGAGATAAGTTAAAGAGCTGGTAGTTCTCACTATAATTGTTAATAATGAGATGATGTAAAGGGAATATGCTTAAAATTTCAGTCAAATTGCTCCACTCTGAACCGAAATATTAGTGATTGAATTTTAGGCATAGCTTCGATCATCATTACTAAAGTCAGTAAGATAAAAAAAAAAAACATTGTTTCGATTATCCATTTTTGGGTTTAATCATCAATGAGCGTTGTGCAGCAGATCGGGTTCTAATCCAGTAAATATCATAGGCTAGCGATGACACCGAGAGTTGATTATGGTCTGGACAAGTCTAATTAATAATTTAGATAACATTTTAGGCCTAAAGAAAAACCTGCAATTGGCAGATTTAGCTCTTGCATAATGTATATTTAAGAAGTCAGAGTTCTCGGAATTGAGCCAAATGTTGGATTTTGTTGTACTAGTTTGTTATGTCATAAGTGATTTGGGCAAGCAAACACTAAACCATCAAATGTTTCGATTCAAAATATAAAGTTGAAATCGGCTATAATTGTAGGATGGATTTGGGCTTAAATTGCCGATCGCAGAACACAAAATAAGTTGGCTTGTTTACTAATTGTAGGGTGAATTTTGGTTTAAACTGTCGATCGTAGAACATAAAATCAGTTCAATATTTCGATACCAATCATTAAAAACAATGAATAATAACTTTCATAAGATAAGTTGTGATAAATTTGTAAATAGAATATATTGTATATGTACCCATGTTGTGTTTCATAAGATGAAGATTGCTCAAAACAATTTATCAAATATTACAGAAATACGTACATTAGATAACTTATGATCAATTTGTAAATATTGTATATTATGCTTGTCCTCATATCGTGCTTTACAAATAAAGTAAAAATTGCTCAAATTCATTTAAACATTATCGCCACCAGGAAACGCCATTCAGCATGACACCGCTACAAAGACCGATCGCATCAGTTCCTTCATAGGTGTACGGGCCCTATGGTTGTTATAGGGGCGGTTCGGAGCGGGGAGACCAGAAATGCCCGAAATTGAAAAGAAACGGGGTTTAACGCCCTACTGTTCTGATCCGACTGGGCTAATGAAGACGGAAGCACCGAAATCTCGGGGTTTACTGTGCAGGGGCTTCCCCAAGAAACGCGCTTGTCTGGTAATCCAGTCCGTGAATACAATACATGTACCTTCAATGTGATCCAATAATGCCTAACTTAGGTTGCTGACCTGAAATCCAAACAACCAATCAATCGTTTAGTCCACGGAGCTGATCGCGGGGTATAGGTAACTCGCCATCCTCGAGAAAAGTTTGAAAATTTACCCCCTCCCCCACCATCCAACGCGTTTTTTTTCTGCTATTCTAGCCTGTAAGACAAGCAGCTTCAAAGCTGCCCAATAGTTTTGCAACCGAAATTTCAATCATCCACCCGTTTGAGCTGCGTCAATGTCCGAAAATTAATGTCGCACAAAGCAGTATGATTGAAGACATAATTAATCCATAGTCAATTCAGTACAAATTCCTGGTATTCAATAAACAGAAAAGTAAATCTAGTGTTTTATTAGACTTCGGCCAACTATGCTATATCATAAATGTTTTTTTTTTCCATTTTACCCATCTGCCGCAAAAGTCAGATTGCCCAAAAGTTCGAGGGTCAGCTGCCCAAGTGGCTTGTACGCCTATAATTGCTTGCGACTTTCTTGTATTCATTGCTAAGTTGATTCTCTGTTTTATTGTGAGTTCGTTTTTCAATTTGAGTGAAGCTTGTATCATTACAGGCCCGGGCCCGTATAGTGCAGTGGATGCTTACGTCTGGTCCGCATATCCACTCGCTTGGTTTGATGTACATAAATGTTCTGTTTGTTGTTTGCAGAGTGTCTGCATAGATTTTGTATCTCATCCGAGAGAGAGAAAGAGAGAGAGAGAGGGGGAGATGAGGGTTAACGGTGGTTTCGATTCCCCGGTTGTACGTGACAAGGAGTAGGGTCGCCTGTCCAACCTCGTGGATTTTCTCCTGGCCCTCCGGTTTCCTCACACTGCTAAATACCCCTACGCGCAAGCGAATTATGGAAATACAATTGAACCATTTGTTAGTCCCGAAATGACCTGGTTTGTCTCTCATCTCTCTCTCTCTCTCTCTCTCTCTCTCTCCCACCCATTAGTTTATTAACTGGTCGTTATCTATACAGAATACTCAATGTCTTAAATTAGTTTAATATTATAAGAAATCATGCCACAGCAGACGAGAGAGAGAGAGAGAGAGAGAGGGAGAGAGAGAGAGAGAGGGATGGGTTTTAATGTCCACACGACACCGTCGTGGTGAAGATTTTTATAATGTTCTTTTTGCACTCTAGTACTTAATGTCTAATTAATAAGTTAGATAACATTTAAGGCCTAAAGGCAGATTTAGCTCTTGCATAAAGCATAATGCATATTTAAAATAATTATAAGTAAAACGAAACAAAATAACGAATAATATATATTTATTATTTACATATCTTTAAATTAGAAAAATGAAACAAAATAATGGATTATATCCTTTGATTTATATAATATTATTAATTAATATTTTAGTACAATAAAACAAAGTAACATATACCCATTAATGACATATTATTAAAATCTATATTAGAAGTAGTTAGCAATCAGGTGTGCACAACAGGGAATTTTTTTTTTTTTTTTTTGGGGGGGGGGGGGCTTGCGGCATCCCACCTGATCTGAGTCCAGATAGGCAAATGGGCCGATTTTTAGGCCGAGTGAGCCTTTTTTTGGGGAGGAGGGGGGGGGGGGGAATGGACGGTTTGCCAGAGTCTCTTATGAGGCCTACAAATCAATATTCTATGGAGTCATTTAAAAATTACATAAAGCTATACTTACTAAATACTTTTCGAACTAACTGGAGGTAATAATTGATTTTCTAACGATGAATGTGCCGATTTATTTTTATGGTGTCCCACCCCACCCCACGATGGGTAAATATGTTTGTGTGCCCCTGTTTATAATACAAAGTATAACGAGTTTTCGCCATGAATTAATATCTTCTTCAAATAAAATAGAATTAATTTAAGTAGTTATAAATAAACCAATCTCTGCAATTACAAATATAAAATGTTGCATACAGAATGTATTTTCTCAAACGTATTAATAGTAATAGATCTAGATCACACTGATCAACAGTGAATATTCGCTAGGCCGATTCAATCACTTAGAGGGATGACATCGGTGCGGTTTAGTGAGCTCGCGTTATTAACTTTTTTTCCATCTGCAAATTAAATTCTAAAACATTTTTAGAAACATTATTAGAAAAATTAAAAAAAAATATTTGAAGTATATAGTAAATGGGTATAAAATGAGTAAAAGGCACCGTTCTACCCGGACCAGTTAATGCAACGACAGTAAACAATGCCCGCGCCATATAGCCAATGATGGACGCCCCGTGATGTGACGTCACCTCCGGAAGACATACTTCAACTTATAAAGGTCAGTCATCTAACACAGAGGTATTGTCTACGATATCACCCTAGGTGGAAGTGGCCGTAAAACTCCAGAAACGAACGAACGAACACAGAGGTATAAGAAGGCTTTCGCCATATCGTTGTGAAACAGATTGGATCTAGATGAGGGACCACAATATAATACCAAATTGTCACGGAGACGCATAAATTACCCTTTACAATTGTTAAATAAAATAAATTTGAGTAAAGTCGATATATTTTATAACAAATGCTATTAAAATATTTGAATGCAAAACGTGGCTTTAAATTTACAGGACTCCCATAAATGTAGCTATTTATCCTGTTGGTGATGGTACTGTTGTTATCCCATCGGTTTTTTGTTGAAAAGTGCAGCTTCATGGGGCTAACGAGTCGCCTATATCGGGGATTTTTGGATTGTCCGAGACGCAGCAGACATGCTAGAAAGTTTCACCCTTACAAGGTTTTAAACAGTTTGCTCGCTATGGACAATACATGTACTTCCAGGAACAAATTTACATCCGTTTCCTTCTTATTAATAGCCGAACAAAACCAGAAAAATTAAGACTAAATTAAACATACATTACATTACGTAAGATTTAGATACAGAGATGACGGTCCTTGCTATAATAGTTAAAAAATAGATAATGCAAAATGAATGTTCGAAACTTAAATCTACTTAAAATCGAACCTATCCGATGGCATCGAGACGTGATTATTAAATTTCTAATTAATAGTTTATAGAACATTTTAGACCCAACGAAAGACCTACAATAGGCAGATTTATATCTTGAATAATGCCCGTTTAAATATCAAAATTTGTAATCTGTACTGAAGCTCAAAGAATTTAAACTGAGTGGGCGGACAGACAAACAGATAGTAGGGCAATCGATCTAATTAAAACACAGATCCCATAAACTATAAAAAAAACCGAAACGAAATATAGATCTGTATTTTATTTAGATTGTGGGTCAATATTACATGTAGGCGTGTAAAAGGTGTAAGAAAAAAAGCATATTTTCTATTTGGCTTTCAAAGCAAGGCAATGCTGTGTTTGAATGCACATTGGTTTCTACGCATTCATATAACGACCGGTTCACATGTAGATCCATCCACTATTCCAGTCTGACCGCGAAAATTCCTTACCCGAATCCATTTGTCATTTTCGTTTTTCCCTAGAAGATTTCGCAAGATTTCTCCAGGGCTTATTTTTAGCTGATGGTCATGATGTGCCAGTATTGTATCCTTCGCTCTCACCATTCTACAACCCAGATGCTTTAATTCTTCCATAAAGTTTGTGTTTTGACTCTGTGTTATTGGGCAGGTCATTTTACTGGTCACAATGGACGGCATTTCGAATAAAACCGGCGAGATTAATGATGTTCGAATTTTCATTTTCTTTCCTTTTGCATTTTGTATAATCACACGTTTTTTACATTTTGTAGAATGAATTATTTCAACAATGTCCCCGGAATCCACTCTCACTTTCTGGCTATTAAACGTCTCAATGATTTCATAAACCCGTTTCTGGGCTGCTTTTAAACGGTAAAAATACTCCATATTTGACTCAAAGTCCACATTATCGCATTCAATTGGTTTCAACAAAATCTGAAAATATATATAAAGTTTCTGAAAATAGATTTGTTGTTACAACAGTGTCCAGAGCTTTATAAACTAAGTCTTTTATCGAGTATACTCTTTGTTACCCATTTTATAATGTAAATGCAAATGTATCCTGTTCTATCCGGTTTCCTCCCACTGCTAAAGACCCCTACGCGCAAGCGAATTATTGAAATAAAATTGAACCATATGTTAGTCCCGAAATTACCTAGTTTGTGTCGAGTGGACGTTAATCTCTCTCTCTCTCTCTCTCTCTCTCTCTCTCTCTCGCCTTGTTCTATAATGTGTCTTTGCCGCGGCGGATCCAGCAAATGTTGCAGGAGGGGGTTTGCCAGACCCCATGTTAAGGAAATTTGACAGTTGACAATGCATGATGCCATTATCGTCTCTAAATTACGTAGGCTTACATTCACATTGAGCTTTTTAAAGAGAGAAATCCAATCCGTTTGACGTCAAATTTTATTATGAATTAATAGGAGCACATTTTGATTTAATTTCATTGATGCAAAGCATTAATTTTGATATCACATGTTTATATCATTATTTCACGCTTTGAATGCCCATCCCATACCACCATCTGATGATAAAGGATAAAGCACACAACCCTTACACTTTTCTCATAAGTGTTGTTTTGCAGTTTTATGTATGGACCGGTCCCTGCTTTGTAAAAGGAAGGTGAGCACATGAAAGCACTATCCAAGTATACAATAATAATAATTTTTGTTTCTTATAACATTCATACCAGTATCGTATAGATCCTCCCTCCTAATTTTTTGTAAAGCGAGAGAGAAAGGGAATGGGGCCTCATAACCACGCGACAAAAACTAGGGACAGCAGTGGGAGGAAACCTGGGAACCCAGAGAAAAAACACCCGTGATGGGATAGGAATCCAAACCACGCCACTTGACTCAATGACAAACCTTATGAAGTGACGCGAATGCGTTACCACCCCCCACCCCCCACCCCCCACACTCACACACACTCGTTTGTTAAAGCGTCGTAAATCAAATTTTGTTTCCATGTCCGAACAATATGTTCTACACGCCACAGCAACCCGTACTGCTAGGAGGATCGCCCTTTCCATCGGTTACCCTAAAAGTGTATTGGTATAGCCGTCCTTCAATGTGCTTGCATCTCGAGACTTACCCTTTCTTGTTCTTCTGTCATCGATGATTGTGATTTTACTTTCTTAAGTAACATCTGAAAAGAACAGAACAGCCAATACTATAGAACAGAACAGAACAACCAATACTGTAGAAACACAGTCTAAAAGACGGTAAAACACACAGATGCAAAAATAAAACTGCCTATAGTATCGCAACGGTTTACAAATCTAAATGCTGGGGGGTTTACATCCACTCAACACAAATTATGGCATTTCCTTAGTAATTTGCAGGTTGGGGTCTTTAGCAGTTGGTGCAGACTGGAGGACAGAACAAAACCCACGAGGTTAGACAGGCGATCTTAGTCTTTGTCACGTTCAATGAGCAACCGCACCTCCCTTTTAGTTTTGAATAGTTATATCAATATTTAGAATGCTATTTTATGATCTGTAGTAGTTGAAAGTCTTATTACCGGTAATGGTAATAACATCATGAATGTAAAAGGACATGTTATTACAACTCCATGACACAACATAGTTAGCCCTAGACATATACATATAGTGTTGTTCTTGTTGTCTAACGTCCGCTTCCACAGTGGGAAATATCGCAGACAAGTTATCTTTTTTTCAATTGTATTATCTTAGCGCACGCACAGGTATCTTTCCCGCGGGAGGAAACCGGAGTAGCCGGAGTAAACCCACGGAGTTGAGAAGGCGCCTCTGTCTCCAAGTCACATACGATACGCTCACGCTAGGGATCGAAACAACGACGGCAAGACAAAGGTGACCGGCCACTACGCCATTTAAACACGTTAATTATCCCCCCATTCCTTTTTTAACTGTCCGAAGATTTTATACAAGGAGGATAATTTTTTACATTGTTATATTTTTCATCTACAGCCCATCTTAATCAATTGTGAAAACTAACTCGGTTGTTCTTCTTTACGGAAGCTGGTATATCTCTTAAAGGTAATGGATCAGACATAGCTGTATCGGTGGTGGTTACGTGGAGCTGTGAGGCATCACCATGATCTAGAAGAGAGAGAAAACATAATGTACAATAGCCAAAGCCTTGTTCATTTATTAATATCTCACCTTTCTCATTGCCCAGAAATAGACATTAATGATCACTAAGAATATCCGTAACCCCCTCTTTAAAGATAATCTTTACTTATACTCACTGGTTAATCGCTTATCTGCTCACATCTAACTACGGTTGGTTATGTTTTAACTTCCTTGTCGCTAGTTTTAATTGTTGACGAAGTAATCCAAACAGACACACACACACACACACAAATATTTCGTAATGTGATCCGAAGAGAGACGTTAACTAGAAGGAAACTTTTTGAAGGTCACAACAATTCTATTTCGCAATTGTATTTGTCACGTGATGTAAACATGGATCAGTAATAGTAATATTTGTAAACAGATCGATTCATATTAGAATCGTGTAAATATAGCGAGAATACTGAAATAATTTCGATTTCGTTTGTTGATAAAATTATTGTTTTGTTCCTGTGCGTTGTCTTTTTGATTATACGTACTTTTATTCTGGAATTTTGACATTTTGTTTGGCGACGCTCTAACAATTAAAAGCCGTAACCTAATTCAAGTCATTTTATTTCGAATGCCCTTTGGCTTTGTAAATATACCACGTACGTTCGAAAATATATGCGATTTCGACGTTAAATTACCATTTGCCTTTAATATACTTGCATTATGACACACACCGCATTTACACTTCAGTTCACGGATTTATAATATATACATTGAATAACTTCTACCTACCTTCATCTTTCACAAATTTGAGTAATCTACTTAGCCAATCTTTATCTTTGGCACTTATGCACGTTAAACCTTTGGTTGTTTTTGGTATGCTTGATTTTTTAACTCCGTCTAATACCACTAAAATTCTGTACCTTTTCTGTTTACTATCCACGCCATATATCACGGCCATTTGAATGTAAAACAGGCTTAACTGACATTCCAAAAAATCTGGAGAAATTACAAGAATAAGCTGTTTTGAACTGTCTAAGCAATTTCCAAAGTTGTCCAATCTGGTTTCCCCTGGGATAAAAGATCCCGAATCACAACACAGAAAATTGTGTTCAGAAAGTGATGTAATAATCTTCGAACTTACTGGAGTCGTTGTGGGCGAATAGACAAAGATGTCATGAATTTCAGAGAGTTTCTTCGGGTCGGAACATAAGCAACCATTTAATGTTTCCATGTTTGCATCTACTACTGATGTTGCTGTACATGTACTCCCACTGCTGGAATTCGATCGTGTCTCATCGTCAGTGCGCTGTTGCTGTTCGAACGAGTTATCAAAATTTGTTTCAGATATTTTCATGTATTCGTCCGGCCACTTAACATCTTGGTCGTCTCTTGATTTTTCTAAATCATCAACTTTTTGATGCTTGAGCATTACATACAGATTTATTCAAGAACCAATGGCTGCTTGCTATACTTAGTCCCAGTCATGTCATGGATCCCGTCTCATTATAAACAAACCGTGTGGTGTAATATCATTTTATTGTTAGTGGTCTATGCAAAAAAATACAGGATAACAATACTTAGTCACGTGACCCTAACATTATGAATGAATACTATACGTACTACGGTGTGAACACATCGTATCCCAAAATCCTTTGTAATAATTTAACATCCATTCCTTGTCAAGTCTAAAATTCAAACGTGCAATAAAGGCGATGAAAGTTTCGAATTTACGTATGTAATATAAACACTTAATGTGTAAATAATTATATTACATTAATGAGATTATAGGAGTCATGTGATATGATTGACATTTAGTACGTCACAAGCATACCAGGAAAACCCTACTTAATACTCGTGATTGTTTACGGGTCTCGATTATTGACCTGAACTTAAATATTTATATAGATATCGCAAGTCACGAGGCATACACAAACTGCAAAAGCTGACATAATGGCATGCCCTTATTAGTATGCCTGTCTGGATCATGCTGTTTAATAGTTAACATATCAGGCCCACGAAACTAGACACAGGTTTCACTCTTCTGAAATATTATATTGTACATAAATTGTTCAGGATTAATAGATGGTTGGCTTCATAGTAAGCGTTTGCATGCGAGCTGTGGATAAAGAGCCGAGACTCTTGGTGAATCATTTAAAGATACAAAGTTTTTAACTCATAATACCACAATCTTCGATATTGCAAGCACGACTTATTGGTTAATTTAAATTAAAATTTTAATGTTGTTATCTTACCCTGAAACGTTGGGCTTCTGATATCTCATATTTAAGACAAAATGAAAATTTTAAAATTGGTACGGTGCCAGAATGCCTTTGAATGCCATTTGTATGAAGCGACTCGGTAATCGCGGTCAACATATCCCATGTAGGAGAATACTACTTGTGTAGACTGGTATAACCAGACGTCAACGACTGCCATTCAATTCGGACTCTTCCCATATTTCGCCGAACATAATTAGAAATTACAGTAGAAACAGAAACTATTGAGTACATTCATGTTACATTATTATATGGATGTCGGGTGTTCGATCCCTGCATTGGCCGAGAAAGTTCAACCAGTTTTCCGGCGTGGTTCTCCCTTGTCAGTGATGCAGGACGGAGAGCCTGACAAGGACAGCTGTCTAGTCGTTTGGATGGGACGAAAAACCGAGGTCCCGTGTACACATTGGCGTGCACGTTAAAGATCCCTTGACAGTTGGAATTCGATATAAGAGTAGGCCGTAGTGCCGCTGTCCGGGCAAAATTTCCCTCATAGCACACTGTATGGCGTATGCCCGTCTTCATTAGCCCAGTTCGGAGCAAAACAGTAGGACGTTAAACCCCATTTCATTTCATTTCATTTACATTATTATATGCTTTGCGATCCATTTGTGTCCATTTCTAGATGCCAAAGAATAGTAATTTAGCTCCTTTAACATCACATATTTTTAATAAATAAGAACCTAATACAGATGTACAGCGATATCCAAGCCTAACACTATATTTTTCCCATAGAAATCATAATTTAGGATAACTGATAATTTTGCTTTGTTTACAAACAATAAAACCAATGTCCAGTTAATGTAATTTAATATTATAAATAACAATAATATAATGAAACATGAATCGCGTTTGACGTCATCGCTGTCATCTTGGAAGAAATGTGTCGTCATACATACAGGATGCAAATAACAATTACCCTTACATACAGCATACATGATGCAAATAACAATTTTATTACAATAGAAATTCGAAAAAAGTCGAGATATTAATTGCTATTAAATACATATAGACAGAAGACATTGTTTAAAATGGTACATTTAACGTCCTCTCGAAACAAACTAGGTCATTTCGGTACTAACATATTGTTCAATTTCATTTCAATAATTCGCTTGCGCATAGGGGTCTTTAGCAGTGGGAGGAAATCGGAGGACCCGGAGAAAACCCACGAGACTGGACAGTAATGGTGCTGTAAGCACGTTGGTTCTTGTTGAAGTCCTAAACATATATATAGCTGCATTTGTTTGCGTTTCAGTTTTCTATATGGGCATAATGGCCATCGCTTCCCGATAATTAAATGATATGCCATATGAAACTATATACACCGCAGAGTTTTATAAAGTTTCGATACCAGGGACATTAATTTCGTGTAGAAAAGATGCCGGACTCTCCATTTTGAAATGGTTTCTTCTTATTAGCTGACCAAAACCAACTTTTTTCAGAAATAAATTAAAACAGACATGCTTATAATGGTGATAACATTAACAAAATACACCTATATGAAATGTAGGCGCCAAAAAGGTCATCCGCGATATTCCCAGGGCTACCACTCCGTTCTACTTTACCACTGGGGGATACCGAGGATGACAGAAGGTCGGCGTGTTTATGCCTATGATAATGGGCTGCTTAATAAATGTCATGGCGTGTTTGAAGATGATTTTTATTCATGAATTTAGATCAATGACGTCATTAAATTAGATCACGACTGTTTCACATGTGGATTTATCTACTATTCCGGTCTGACACCGGAAGTTCATTATTCGAATCCATTTGTCACCTTCCATTTTTTCTAGAAGTCGCAAGATGTCACCGGGGTTTATTTTCAGCTGATTGTCATGGGTCAGTATTGTATCTTTTGCCCTGACAATTCTACAACCCAGATATTTTAATTCTTCCATAAAGTGTGCGTTTTGACTCTCTGTTATCGGACTGGCTAATTTATTGGTCACAATAGACGGCATTTCGGATAAAACCGGTGAGAGTAATGATGCTCGAATTGCCATCGTTCTTCGTTTGGCATTTTGAATTATTACTCTTTTCTTACATTTTGTAAAATTCAGCACTTCAACAATGTCCCCTGAATGCACTCTCACTTTCTGGCTTTTAAATGTCTCAATGATTTCATAAACTGGTTTATCGTCAGCTTTTAAACGGTGAAAATACTTCATATTGGATTTATAATCCACATTATCACACTCAATTGGTTTTAACAAAAGCTGAAAAAATAAATACCAATCTCCCAGAAACAAATAATTGTAAATATATATCTTACAGTGGATGTGATATTACTGGCTAAACTTTGCATTGGGCTAACACGGGGCCTCTCACAATCTGATTTAAATACAGATTTCGTTTCGTTTTTTTTTATACTTTCGCTGGCCTACACTACATGGAGATCTGATGACAAGCTTTACTCGGAGGTCGTGTTAGGCTTTTGACCCTATGACGTCAGACATTGATTAACCAATCTGCGTTGACGTTTCTAGTGGTTTACCTGCAGTTCCGTGCATAACACGCCAAGAACTCGCCGTAACAGAACGTTTCAATGGCTAATCCCTCACTTCAATCAAAACGCCGATAATATAACAACTCTTTTAGATCCTAGTGTAGTAAAGACAATTAAAACGAAATTTTGAACTTTAAAAAACGAAACGAAATAGGAACTGTCTTTTAATCAGATTGGGCCTCTCAAATGTTTTATTTTGCGATCCACTGTTTTAAGGAATTGGGTTGCACAATAATATGATTACAAGTTTGCTTATATCAGGTCTAAACTCCACAAATGTCTTGAATTTTAAAACTATAAAAACCTATAACGTCAAAAAAAAAGAAAATAAAAACACGTGATCTATTACCCGGGAAACGATGCCTGTATCTCTTGACTTACCTGTTCTTGTTCTTCGGTCATTGGTGATTCTAATTTCAATCTCATCAATAACATCTGAAAACAATTATAAACGTTTTAAAGTTACAATTTCATATTTTTAAGTTATATTTTTAAAATGTATTAAAATAAAGCCTTAAAATAGATGGTATCTATAAACAGTCCTACGCTGTTAAAGAATAATCCTATTAATCCTATAATTTACTATTGCCAGTTGAGAAATTGGCAAAAATATCATTATCAACTTCAAATTCAAACGTCTGAAGATAGCTATTCCATGGACGGGAATAGGAAAACAAGGAAGGTAATTGGGAGGTAATTGTGTTATTATTTCCGGTGTGAAGATTTTTAAGTGTGAGAAAGATAACCTATGATCGTTGACAACCTATTGAGCAAAAGACATTATTATGTTTTGACTTTCTTAGAAAATATGAAATTGTAACTTTAAGGTTGTTGTTTTGGGAAGGTAATACAGGATAACGCTTAAATTGTGATCGAGAACACCACTAATTTCAAGTTACATTAAAGAAGTCTTGGTCATTTTTGAAAAATAAAACAGCTTAATGTTTTTTGGGGTTTTTTTTAAATTCACATTCAGCTATTTCAATGTAAAGATAGGTTCCAATGAAGTTATTAAGGTCATAGTTTGCCCTACTAAAAGTTATTAAAAATAGGATTAGGCGTTCATTTTATAACTGCCGTCTACAGCCATCCAAATCAATGGTTAAAACCATAGAAATAGTTCTATGTTAAAACCAACCTGGCTGTTCTTCTTTACAGAAGCTGGTATATCTCTTAAAGGTAATGGATCAGACATAGCTGTATCAGTAGTGGTTACGTGGAGCTGCGGGACATTACCATAATCTAAACGAGAAAAAACACAACATGCCGAAATTAATACACTACCCAATAAACCATATCATCCCCATTACATAAATGCACGATATGTCTGTAAATGTCAGTCTTTAGAAAGCTTTAAGGGGTATAAATCTTAATAGGAACTATGTATTACCAGTGTATTACTTTCTGGTTATGTAATGGAATTCTTATACCAGTGTAGATGTAAAAAAAAATATATAACACAGCACAGTTTTATGGATAACAATCAAGCATGGTCGTTATCAAGCATACAAATTTTCATTATTATTTTTTTTATTTTTGGTTGCAAATGTGTATGCTTGATAAGGACAAGTGAAATCTTGTCAAAACGTCATGTTCGTATAATATAGTGATAGTTATCCTTAGAGCTGACAAGGAGTAGGGTCGCCTGTCAATCCTCGTGGGTTTTCTATCGGCCCTCCGGTTTCCTCCCACTGCTAAAGACCCCTACGCGCAAGCTAATTATTGAAATACATTTAACTATATGTTAGCTCTCTCTCTCTCTCTCTCTCTCTCTCTCTCTCTCTCATTTATCGAAACACAACATGAAGTTCAGAAGAGGATCCTTACGGTTTTGGTCAGTCTTCGTCGCCGTAGTGTCACGGATAAAGATTTCCGATCCTAGAATCTACGCTTTAAACGTTATCTTGACATGACCTGTTATGATCTGCAATCTGATTATAATACAGATCTATATTTCATTTCGTTTTTTTATATTTTCGATGACCTACACTGCATTAAGATTTGACCAGTTGTACTACTGGGAGGTCGCGTCAGGGGTCATACGAGCGACTTTTGACCATATGACGTGAGACATTGATTAATCAATCAGTGTTGACGTTTCTAGGAGATTACGCACAAATCTGTGCAGAACAAGTCAAGAACTTGCCGTAACAGACCGTTTCATTGGCTAATTCCTTTTATATAATAAAAGGTTATAGTTTATAGTTAAAGCTACTCTTAGGTGTTAGATATTCGAAATAAAGATGTTTTAGGAAAAAAAAATAGGTTTTTGCGAGTACTATCCGCTTTATTAAGCTTCTTCATGCAAACTTTACCAATTCCAATATATATATATATATATATATATATATATATAATCAGATCCTAGTGTTGTGAAGACAAAATGAAATTTTGAACTATAAAAAACGAAACGAAATAGGATCTATGATTTAATCAGATGATTAGGTTAGGCATATCTGTTTATCTTTCTGGTCTCTATTTAGGACTGATGTAATAAAGCAGATATTACGACAAACAAAAAAACATCGTTATAAAATTTTCGGTCACGCCAAGTTAAAAAAACACAACGCAATTTGTATGGAAAAAAATCACTGGTTTATATACATGTACATATAGCATGACGTTATGACAAATATTCTCTTACCGTTTAGAAGTACAAATAAGAGACTATTTGTCGATACGTCGTGCTATATGTGTATAAACCAGTGACAGTTTTCCAATTAAATTATGTTGTGTTTTTTTAATATGCTCATTCGCTAAATGCCACTCAAGGATTATACGACAAACAAAAAAGACATCGTAAAATCGTCGGTCACGCCAGGTTAATATGGAGGTTAATTTTTGTAGGATACTGATGTAATGTAGCTAATATCTTACGAGAAAGAAAAAAACACATCATGATATGGTTAGTCACGCGAATTTAACATTCAGGTCAACTTGTATAGGTTATCTGTATCTGTAATACTTTAGAAATTATTTATCAGTCAAAAAAATTTATAATTTAAAAAAAAAATATATCTGTAATAGTATAATCTATAAATATATTGATACAAAACTATTTATGATTTAGAAACAAGTCTACATGTAAAGAGAGGGCGTTGCGATTATTTGGGTGAAATTTACTGTGTATAAAACAAATTAATACGGGGGCTATATATTAATGCGTTACTCGTAACTCGCCAGTGACTTTCTTTTCTATTATTTTTATTCTTTAGCATACTGAACATAAAAACTGACAACGCCAATATTTATTCCATGCTGTCCAATTTATGTCTAATTACACGGAACCGCTCATTTTAGAAAACAAAAGGTAAGATACGACGGGTCGCATTAATAGCATTGTGCATCTTTGCTAACCCCCTATAATTTCTACCTGGGTAGTCAGCCACGGTGGTTAAGTGGGTGAGGCGCTGGCTTGCTAGCCTGGAGGTCGCTAGTTCGATCCCTGCATTGGTCGAGAAAGTTCATCGGGATTTTCGGACGTGGTTTCCCCTTGTCAGCGGAGCAGGGTAGGGGGCCTGCCAAGGACAGCTGCCATGTCGTTGGGATAGGATAAAAAAAAAGAAAGTTCCCGTTTATACATTAGTTTTGCACGTAAACGATCCTTTGGCAGTTGGAATTCGATATAAGAGTAGGCCATAGTGCCACTGCCCGGGCAAAATTTCCCTCATAGCACACGGTATGATGTATGCCCGTCTTCATTAACCCAGTCGGGGTAGAACAGTTGGACGTTAAACCCTATTTCATTTCATTTTATAACTTCTACCTACCTTCACCTCTCACAAATCGCAGTAATGAACGAAACCAGTCCTTTTGTTTGGTACTAAAACAGGTAAGAGGTTTGATTGTGTTTGGTAAGTTGTTTGTTTTAACTCCGTCCAATATCACTAAAATCCGGTACGTTTTCTGCTTATTGGTCATTCTATATACCACGGCCATGTGCGTGAAATACATACTTATTTCACATTTCAAAAATTCTGGAGAAATTACAAGAATTAGCTGTTTTGAACTGTCTAAGCAATTTCCAAAGTTGTCCAATCTGGTTTCGCCTGGGATAAAAGATCTCGAATCACAACACAGAAAATTGTGTTTAGTACGAAGTGCTGTTATAATCTCCGTACTTACTAGAGTAGTTTGTGGTGAATAGATAAATACGTCATAAATATCATTCTGGGATTTCAGATCGGAACAACAGCAATCATTTAATGTGCAGTCCTCGTTATCGTTTGTGTCTACAACTGGTGTCGCTGTACATGTTCTGTCATTGCTGGAATTCGATCGTGTCTTATCAACAGTAGGCAGTTGCTGGTCAAAAGAGTTTGATCCTTGAGTGCTGTTAGCAAAATTTGTTTCCGAGATTTTTATAATTCCGTCCTTAAACTGACCATCTTGACCTGCTCTAGATTTTTTTAAATCATAACTTCTTTTATACTTTGACATTACATACAAATTAATTAAGATTTCTTTCCAAGAACAAATTAATGTCTGCTGGCTCTATACTTTGCCTCATTCATGTCATGGATAAACAAACCTTGTGGCGTGATATCATTTTGTTAGTGGTCTATACAAAATATGCAGGATGTGAATACTAATTTATGAGACGATAATGTGAATATGAGTTTACCTTTATACATGTATACTATGAATACTTTTTATACTATACGTTGTGCAAAGCGTATCATAACAGTTTTGTCTGTCAGCTCACCATCTATCGCTCCCGATTCTTTTAAATACATGTATACTATGAATACTTTTTATACTATACGTTGTGCAAAGCGTATCATAACAGTTTTGTCTGTCAGCTCACCATCGATCGCTCCCGATTCTTTTAAATAATAGATTACTTTCCTTTGTATCCTAGCCTGTCGCAAGAACGTTTAGAATGTGATCTATACAAAATACAATGTATTTTAATACATTGTGAACACTTCAAGTTATCCGATTCCTAACCCAGGCAAAAATCCAAACGTAATCCTACAATCGTCTTAAGGTGAGGCAAATAGTGAATTTTCCTGTAAATGTGCTTACTAATATAGGCCATATAAAAGCTTTTAAAACGCGTAATACATGAATGACATTCTTGATAACGTGAACGGTTATAATAGGGTCATCCAATACGTCACTGGGGGATTTGGAAAACCCAATAATACACGTGACTAGGGACACCAGAAGCATAGGGCAGCGGTTACACACAACAGGCGAAATAATTTTATTCCCGAGACGCCTATTTACGGAAAGAAAGAAGGAAAGGGTGAATTATAACGTTAAGAGCACTACTTACTCTTTGTCCATGTGCTTAGCCCTAGACCGTAATGACTTTATTATGTTTGCATGGGCGTACCGGCCGGGGCGGGCGGGAGGGTGTGTGAGGGGCAGCCATCCCCTAACTTTCGGGCAATTTTTTATTTTCTAGTCGGCGAATTTTCAAACATCGATTTGTCGGGAATATTGATTTCTCTAAATTAACTAATGGATAATGATCTGGATCTAGCGTCACTCTATAGTTTAGCCATTCTGCTTTATGCGCGATTTGTTTTCGGACATCATCGTTATTTGTTTCATCAAATTTCGGGGAAGTGAAATTTCTAGTGTCCGATGAAATGCAGTGACAAAAATCTGATTGAGTGATTGATTGGTTGGAATTCAGATGGGCATGGGATGAGATTTCGATTGCAAAATCACGTAAATACGACTATATTGAACCGCTTTGTCCATAATATCCTGTATAATGTCAATCTGTTTCACAGACTGTAGCGGACTAGCATATATTCACTGCTGATCAGTGTGGTATAATGTATTGGACGTTAAATTTGTAATAAACAACCACCTTCTAGAGTAGCTGCACTCTCGGGTTAGAATAGCAGTAAAACGTGTTTGGGCCGTATAGTAGATTTCGGGGGTGATGGGGGGGGGGGGGCACATACCAGACCCCCCCCCCCCAAGGAGCGCTCCACGCCTTCTGTAGGGGCTGAATCTAAACGGGAATTCAGAGTGGGGTTTCGATTGCAAAATAACCTAATAGTATGTTGGACCACTTTCTAGTAAATGAATCACACCGTCCGAAATGCAGGAAAACGCATTTGGGGTCGTCTAGGGAGCAGGGTAGCTCAGTGATAGCTGGGAGGTCTTGGCCGAGAAAGTACCTCGTGTATTTACGGACTCGGCTTAAGGATGCATTATGTATGAGCTAGCCTACATCTCCATATACTAATGTAGATGAATGTAGATAAATCATTAATTAGCCGAATATTCACCTTCCAAGCCCAAATCAACTTTCTAGAACATCGGATGGTTTTGATTTTCAACGGATTTAAAAACACGATTGCCAGTTAATGATTTGATTTAACAAAGGGATAATCGAGAATTTGTTTTGTACATGGGACGTTGTCATTTGCTAGGCCCTTAGAAACCACGCCAGAACAAGGTAGAAATTGTATGCAACCCGAGTGATAGCGCGCTGTAGAGGTATATGCTACATGTGTGATGTTCATACCCTTATCTACGTACATAAGAAACACAGCATACACTACACTAAACAAAGGGATAATCGAGACTTTGTTTAGTATCCTTACAACGGTAGCAATGACAATCGAGACTACACCGTTCTTCAAACGGCCATAAACTTCCCTCAGAATAAAGTAATTCGACTGAAATTTCTATACTCATGTCCAAAACAAAGTACACACTGTGCATATTGTGCTGCGTCAACCTAAGTCGTTTTTCCATGGTATACGGTATTTGGGTAGAATGTCAATTTGTTTCACATTTTTATTTTGCTTAGAAATGTTGAGTTTGGATGCAAGAGACAAACTCAGTAATGCTTTTATCAAATGTTTTTAATCTAAACAAAACTTAAGAGAGAGAGAGACATGGGGTTTAACGTCCACTCGACACAAACTAGGTCATTTCGGGACTAACATATGGTTTAATTTTATTTCAATAATTCGCTTGCGCGTAGGGCTCTTTAGCAGTGGGGCTAAAACCGGAGGACCCGGAGAAAACCCACGAGGTTGGACAGGCGACCCTGCTCCTTGTCACGTACAACCGGGGATTCGAAACCACGCCAGTCGAATCAATGATAGACTTTATGATACAGCGCGCGCACGCTAACCATTCAGCCATCCAACCCCCCAAAACAAAACTTAATTAGTCATACTTTTAGTGTGTATACTTTCTTTTGGACATCAGTATATATACTGAGCGCCAAGGCAAACGCATCACTTTTTTCCCCCAAATATTTTATTACTAGGTGGTTTTGTATGTATAATATTATGCAATACTATGAACTATTGTTTCACACAATGCTCCCAAACGCAAAAAATATCGGCCCGTGTGCACAAAAAAAAATTGCACGAGATGCACATGAAAAACCCAATATTCACGTGCAGCATTGTTTGTGAGCCCTTTAAAAGCATGTTTTCAACTTAAAGGCTCAATACCACTCTTGTTGTAACTGAATAATATGTCCCAATCTTTATTCTGGTCAACAAATTGTACTATTTTAGAATATTTCAATTAATTGATGATGCAAATTTCATCTTAACACACCTTATTTAAAAAATTTGAAAAATTCAACATAATGGTTTGAAACGTCTAACGTAAACCTTTTCAAATGAAACTTCGATTTAAAAATATTTTCGAACCCTCTGGACAAGAAAAATAGGATGTAATGGACAATTTACACAACAGGTAGGACACTTAAACATCTAGTACTTAGAATAAGGCTATTTTTTTTATCTTATGGAGCTTTCAAGCCAGCAAGAGTGTTATTGTCCCTTTAATGTGCAGCACACGAACTGTGAAACGTCAATCTGTCGTAATTTGTTGTTGGACGTGTGAAGGAATCGAGCTAGAGATGCCGAGACTTACTGAAAATTAACGGAATGAAGCCATGTGAATGTCCAGGGCTGGCATGTCTACACGTGCTATTGCCAGACACTTCAATTGTCATCAGTCCACTATTGTAAGGTTGGTGGAACGTGTTCGAGTTACTGGATCAACACGTGACCGTCAACGTCCTGATCCACAACGCGTTACAACCCAGGCTCAAGACCGCTACATCCGGGTCACTCATCTGCGTGACAGATTCCGCCCAGCGACTCGAACGGGTGAAGCAGTCGTCGGAAGACAAGGACCAGTAAGTGCCAACACCTAAGACGTCGTCTAAGAGAAGTAGGACTCCGTGCACGACGACCTTATGCTGGAGCTATCCTCTGGGATCATCACCGTCAGCGGCGTTTGATATGGGCTCAATGACACCAGACATGGAGAAGAGTAGACTGGCAAAGTGTGCTCTTCAGTGATGAGAGTCGCTTTCATCTTTATCACGCTGATGGCCGTCAACGTGTTTGGAGACGTCTTGCAGACTGCTGCGTCTTCAAAACGAATCGATGGGTTGGGGGAAGTGTAATGGTGTGGGGAGGCTTCACATTTCATCACCGGACCGCCCTACACATTTGCAGGGGTCGCGTTAATGCTGTAGCCTACCGTGATGGTGGCCCGTGGAGGACAGACGCGCGACTGACATCTGTGTCGTACTTTTGGTTTTGACCCCTCTGACTTTGTACCCTTGATTACAGATTAAACATCCATAAGTGTACAAATGTGTTGTTATTGATGTGTTCCCATTTGAATATTGTTCACAATAAGAAGCAAAATAAATAAGATATGTTTACAGGATCATTTTGTTAATGTTATACGAAAAACTAAGTGATGCGTTTTCCATGGCGCTCAGTATATATACCCTTTTCATTATCTATTTTGTAACTGTTGTAGCGAAAACTGTCAACTCTTTATCTAAATCTTACATAAAATGCATCTTTAACCTTGTCAGCTGGCTGGCAAGAAACAGTGTCAGTCGTTCAGATGGGACGAAAAAACAAGATCCGTGTAGACCTAGGCCTACACATTGGCGTATTTGAAATAAGAATAGGTCGTAGTAGTGCCGCGGTCCGGGTAAAAAAATCCTTCATACTCATAGCACAATGTAAAGCGTGTGCCCGCCTTCATTACCCCGATCGGTGTACGTAGAACTAGTTGAACAGTAGAACGTTAAACCATTTCATTTTTCATAAACTGCGACGGCACGAATGAAATATTTTCGGGAATTTTATTTCGGCCCCTCCCCCTCTAAACTTTATCCAGCTCGTGCGTCTATCGATGTCTTTGTGAAACAAGCAGCTTATCTAGCTTATGTTTCAAATAGTCATGACGCAGTTTCTCGGGACGATTATTTAGTAATTTCGTTTCTTTTTATCTATTTCCTCATACTTCGTTCCACTCTTTTTTCCTTGGTTAAATATTTAGCTTCCGGTTAATTTCAGAATGGCGGACGTTTCGAAAAGTTTGCAAAAAATTTGATTTATTTTTTGTTGTAACACATGAAGTGTGCAATAATATACCAGGATATATATACTTACATTGGTAAATAACACGGAGAAGATTTATGTTAGATGAAGTTTGATGTCTGTCAATTTCAATATGGTGTGTAAACTTAATTTAGAGAAAGAATAAAATTAA